CACCGCCCCACCTGCATCGTCCGCACTGACAGTGTCAAGACCCCCGAGTCGGAAGGCAACCCGCTGCTGGAACAGCTCGACAAGAAGTGACCATGGGCTGGGAGGAGGAAGAGGAGGAGAAGGAGGAGAGACAAAGAGGGAGGAGGAGGAGGGTCCCAGAGGGCCCTCCCTTGGCTCATGAAAAACTATACAATGAGGTTTGGCCCAGCCAGCATCATCCGGGCGTTTTTGTGGAGCTGCAGTCAGCCACACGAGGGGAAGATCGGGCTGAAGAAACCCAGAGGGACCAAGCGCTGAGACCAAAGTCGACCATGGTTAGGGCTGTCCTGCTTGGGGCCCAGCTTGAAGGAGGTAGGACAGAGGGTCCTGGGCCACAGAGACACCCTGCCAGGCAGCCTCAGGCACCTCCTGGGCCTCTCCGCCAGGACCTCCCCCACTGAGGGACCTCCAGACAGCCGGAAAAGCCATGCATCGCAGCCAAATTGCAGCGGCTGTGGATGGAACTCAGAAACTGCGACCCACCTGCCCCAGCCCTGCCCTTGACCCTGATGTCACACTGCCTGGGTCCAGTGCGGCCCTGCCCGGGAGGTGGCAGCTGGGCGCACCCTCACCGGCCCTGCTGGAGTTTGCTGCGGGCACTGAGGCGCGGGCGCCCCTCCAAAGCACATACTCACTGAATGTTTACAGACTGGCTGTCCGGGCAGGGCTTTCAACTGCACATGTTTTTTATACTTTCTTTTTTTTTTTTTTAATATTTTTTACAAAAAAAAAGATTTTATACAAGCAATATATATATGGATTTCTATAATCACTCGATGTGATACAGTATAAATATGCTATGGTTTGTTTGTTACGAACAGATACCCTCCAGTTATGGCTGTTGTGTGTAACTCCTAAGTACTGTAGTCTCTGGGTGTTGGGGTGGCTGGGTGGGGTGGGGGGCGTTTCCATCCTCTGAAGCCCTCATAGTACTCAATCCTGTATCGCTCAGTAAACATTGCTCTTACGTACCCCCCTGCCTCCTGTGGTGTCTGCCCAGGGAATGGGGTGCAGGGCCTGCTCCATGTTGGAGAACGTGTGGAACTTCTGCCATGGACCCTTGTTTTTTATGACAGTCCTCCCAGGTAAGTATGGATTTGCCCATTTTACATATGAGGAGGCTGAGGCACAGAGAAGTTAAAACCATCTGCAGGTGGCATTTTGAGATAACTCCTCCTTTCATTCACGCACAGATGTTTGTGGCATGCCTTCCGTGTGCGTGCCAGGCACTCTGGAAAGTGCCGGGTCATCGCCAGGAAATCAGACAGGCCTTGGTTTTACCCTCAGGGAGCTGCAAAAGTGAGTTCACCTTGAGCTTGCTTCATGGCTCATTTTGTCTTCACAGCAGGCTCCCTGGGGAGCTCAACTGAGCAGCCAACTATCTGTTGAAGACTTGCTGCGCCATGAGCATATATAGTCCATTTACCTCTCACTGGCGCACGAAATCACATCATTCCTCCCGTTCCACAAGTGATTGAGCTGAGGGTCCGACAGGGACCATGCCTCTCCTAGGTCGCCCAGCTAGCACGGGAAGGAGCTGGTTTTGAACTTTGCCATGGAGACCCATGACCTTTTCTCCTGTCATCAGCTGACCATGTGGTTGTCCCCGTGGTGGACAGTCTCACCTGATTAGAACAGGAAGCTTAGGAGGCCATGGTTATAACTAAGACTTAGTTTCCAGGAAAGCTGGATGAAGTCCCAGGCTACCCCAGCTACCCCAGCACAAGTGCACCCGGCCCAGAGGGGAGTGTGTGGATGACTCGGGCCCTCCTCACCTCCACAGCTAAATGACTGCCATGTGCACAGTCATGGCTATTTATTTACTTGGCACTGGATGGTCTACAGAGTACCATGTTCCCGTGTACCATCTTTTCTGATATTACCGCTCTGTGAGGTAGGTGGAATAGGTGGCTTTAGCTCCCTCGTACTAGAGGTTTCCCAAAAGTTCATGGAAAATGCATTTTATGAAAAAAAAAACTATAGATTTTAATGTTCTCATATTTCCTTTTGGGGGGGATTTATTTAATTAGTTAGTTAGTTGTAGGGCATATGTACTCACCTGAGACAATGCAGGGGATGCAGGATGGTGGGGAAGGGTGAGAAATCACCCCCCAGGGATGGTTATTTGGCCATGCCTTCTCTATTCTCCTCTCAACATTTCAGGCACACATGCACACCCGCCTGGCATAGTTTCAAACCCTCATGTCCAGGACTCAAGGATGTGGCAGTGGGTGACCAGAAGTCACCGTCACCGCTTCATCAGTAGAGCTAGCACCAGAGCGTTTTCTGTGCCTCTGTACATGTGTTACCTCAGCTGGTCTGCACGGCCTTGCTCAGAAGCAGGTGTACCACCCCACGTTACAGATGAGAAACTGAATTCGGAGAGGAAGTAACTTGCCCCAGGTCCCAGATCAGTTAGGTGGCAGACTCAGGGTGTTATTGCCATCTGACAGAAGCTTGGATGAGCGTCGCCCAGCTCCATGGAAGAAAGGCTCCGTGTCGGTGGTGTGACCTCAGTTGCCGGGGGAGCTTGTGCAGGAGGCCAGGAGAGAAGGTATGCTCGTCAATGCTTGCAGGCCATAGTAAGAACTTCCATCTCCAAGTCTACCTGTAGAAGACACTTGAAAGCCAAGCATATTCAAGACCATCTTCTATTGACTAGCTATGAGCTTCATTACTCTTTTTTATTTTCTTTTTGCTTTTTTGCCAGAGGGCACATTGCTTGCTGGAGAGAAACAGAGAGAGAGAAAGAGGAGAGAGAGAGAGAGAGGGAGAGCACCCCCTGCCCCCCGTGGGGAATGATGTGTCGCAATCCCTTCTCCTCCATTTCTCCTTTCAGAATCTTAGCACACATGCACATGCGCCTGGTGTATTTCTCAACCTACTGGGTCCAGGATTCAAACCATGCAGTTGGCCATGTGGGATCCAGCAGGCCTGAGCCTCATTTTTCTTATCTGTAAAGTAGGAAAAAACAAACAAACAAACTAAGTCTTTCTTCTGGGATTGTTGTCAGGACCAAAAAAGGAATGGATATAAACGTGTTTAAAAATGAAATAAAAAGCTGCATAAAATGGTAATTTTCTTTTGTTAAAAAAGTTTTTTAGTTTGCTATAGGGCACAAAGTGAGAAATCAGTTCTCGGGGGAATGGCCATGCTGTATTCTCTTATTGGCCACTCTCATCTCAGGATTTGGGGCACACATGCACACACCCAGCATGATTTTCAAGCCACCAGGTCCAGGACTCGAACTGTGCTGCTGGCCTGGTGGGACCCAGCCACCCTAACCTCTACGCCACCTGCTGGCCCCAAATGGTAATTATCTTGCCCTTTGTTAGTGTGGCTATTTAATATTTACCGCGTGGTACACGTTATTTAAATAGCTTTTAGTCTTGAGGTGGGCTGCAGAGTTTGTGTTCTGACCAGATAACCAGGTCCCCCGGATGTGATAAATGCCTGGAACTCAAGACTCCTGGGTTCATTCAGCTCCTGATGGGCCACAACTAGCTGTGCTGTGCTCAGCCCCTCAATGAGCCTCAGCGTACCTGTCCACCAGGCAGTCATAAATACAACCTGTGCCACCTGTGCCCAAGGTTCCTTCGAGAATCAATTGGGTTATGTGTACAACGATGACCTGAGAACGGCAAGAACCTTTAGCAATCAAATGGGCAGAACTAACTAACATGTTTTGGGCAAGACACAGATTAACGGGAACATTCATATGCTGCCAATGGGAAATTGGTATAACCACTGAGGAAGGCAGTCTGGCAATAAGCAGTAATGCTAAAGCTAAACGCATTCTTTGACCTAGCAATTTCGCTCCTAAGTATATACTTGGGTGAAACTTGGCACAGGGCACAAGGAAATGTTCAAGAGTGTTCACTGACGCTTTGTACTACAGGAAAATTAGGAACCACTTCACTGCCCATGAGCAGAAGCCGTACATTGCATTTTCATAAAACTGAGTATTACTGAGCAGGTAAAAAGAATGAACCAGGGCTGCGTGGGTCGATGTGACCAAGTCTCAGAAACAGAACGCTGAGCCTACGGGTAGAAGAGCACATTGCAAAAGGAGACCATCTGTGTGATGCTTCTAAATGTGCAAATCGGAACTTTATCGTTTGTGGGTATACCCAGGTCTGGGTAATAGCAGTATAAAAGCATGTACAGGAACTCTACAAATACCAAAATCATTAATAGGGAGGGCTCCTGGGAGGAGAGGGGAAGAAGGGGACTGCAAATGCCATCTGCAAGGGTAAGTAGGACACTGGATTTCAACTACAGGTGTCACATTTCTTTCTCTTTTTTTTATATCTTCAACTGCAGAATCATGTTAGAATTTGTGAGTGGGTGATATGCACACAGATGTGGGTTGTATTCTCACTCCTCTGTTTGCTTGATCTAAAAAAGAACAAGTCACAATACAAATAGAAGGCTTTGTGGGTCCTTTCTTTCCTTGCAAACTCAGGAAATAAAAACACACCTGAAATGCCAACGGCATTGCAACATAGGTGCTTTGAATTTATGCAAATTTAATTATATGCCTAGAGGAAGAGAGGAGAGCTTCAAAGGGTGTGAGTTTGGCTGGCCAGTGCCAGTGTGGGAAGATGCCCTGGAGAGGCACTTTGGGGAGTGTGGATCCTGGTCCCTGCTTTCTACAAAATGAGCAGCGTTCAAGGTTAATTCAGACTCTGGACTGACTCCTCACACACTGACTTTCCATCCCAAGCCCTATGAGAAATGCAACTCCACTGTCACTTTAAATTGAAGCTGTGGGTTAGAAACACAGTGAAGGGGGAGGCTTTTAAAGACGAACCCAGGGAACCAGCAGTTAGCGTAATGGCTATGTCGCTGGACTCCCACATAGTCAACCGCGGTTCACGTCCCGGACCTGGTGGCTTAAAACTCACGCCAGGCATGTGTGCGTGCATGCCCAAGATCCCGAGAGGAGAATGGAGGAGAGGGATTGCAGCGTGAAGATCCCCCCCTGGAGGGTGATTTCTCACTTTCTGTCTCTCTGTCTCTCTCTGTCTGTCTGGTGAGCGCACGTGCCCTATAGCAAAAAACAAACAAACAGAAAACCTCTAAAGACAAACCCAGTTTTCATAGATATATTCCTTTCCAGTTGCAAATTACTGCATATTTAATGGCTTAAAACAACATCGATTTTAGAGGGCTAGCAAGTGGCATGGAGATTAAGGTGCTGGATCCCACATGGCCAAACTGTGCAGATCAAGTCCTAGACCCAGCAACTTGAAAATCATGCCGAGTGTGTATGCTTACATGCCCAAAATCCCAAGAGGAGACTGGAGGAGAAGGAATTGTATGTGACCATCCTCCAAGGGAGTGATTTCCCACTTCCCCTCTCTATGTCTCTCTCTGGTGAGTGCATACGCCCTATAGCAAAATAGCAAAACAAAAAACCACCATAGTATCTTCCAGTTTTGGAGTTCAAGAGCCCAAAATGGCTCTTACTAGGATAATATCAAGGTGTTGACAGGACTGTGTTCTTTTTGGAGGCTCTAAAAGACCTCTAGAATCCACCTTTTTTGCCTTTTCAGCTTTCAGAGTCTCTGCATTTCTTGGTTTGTGGTCCCTTTCATCTTCGAAGACAGCAGTGGCCAGTCAAGTCTTTCTCATACACTGATTCCTCTGCCTCCTTCCTCATCCATCTTTTTAACAAATTATTATTGGAACCAGCAGACTGCAAGATGGTTACATCACTGGACTCCTACATGGCCAACTGTGGTTCGAGTCCTGGACCCAGAGGCTTGAACCCCATGCCAGGCACATGTCCATGTGTGCCCAAGATCCCGAGAGAATGGAGAAGAGATTGCAGTGTGACCATCCCTCCTGGGAGTGAGGGTGATTTCTCGCTTTCTGTCTCTTTCTGTCTCTCTGGCAAGTGTACATGCCTTATAGCAAAAATCTCTCTCAAAAAAAAATTATTATGTGTGTGCTCACTGGAGAGAGA